TCAAAATTACTTTTGATTTGGAAAACATAGCTAATGCCATGTTTACGTTAGAACTTTTTGTAGGGTTAACCGGCTTTGAGAGGATTTATTTGAAGTATAAGTAATGGATATGACAATTTTAATCCAAATACAGTCGGTTAACCCATTTATATATAAACGTACTGTAAGACCTTTTTAATGGTTATAATTGAGGTTTGAAAATTCTATTAAATATGATGATATAACGAATATAAAGAGGTACTGGGGAAAAGGAAATAAATCATAAAGTGGACTTTTATTGTAATTTTTGGACAAATGATTTATAAACTCGAAAAAGTTTTTGAGATCTTCAAAATACCTCAAATCGGCATGTTATATGGGAAATCCGTATTAAAGGACTAGATTTTACTGCACTGAAATCATCAAATGCCAAATTAGAATACATTTGGTCGACGAATATTAGGAGATAATATTATATGAGGTCTATATATCTTTTTAACATCAATCACCCTAAAAATGATATAAAAGCCCATGGTACAATAAAAAGGTAAGGTAGAGCTACCAGCTGATTACAATTTTTTTCTAAGTGTGACCGACTTCTGCCAATATTGTTTTGAAGAATAAAAACAGAATATTTTCAAAATCAATGATTGGAAGATGCGTAAGTTGCGAGACGCGCATTAAAGCTTTTCGCCAGTTTTGCCATGGAATTGAAAGGTAGAACTGTTTAGATAATATTTTTGAAAGAAAATCTTGGCATTTCATTCATTTTCCGCTTTTTAACTGATTTTAAAAATTTGTTGCATTCAAATTTGGCAGGAAGCGGACATAGCCTCAGGGCTGTATTTCTGTAGTTTTACGAAGCTATTCTACCTCCTTATTGTACCATGTAAAAGCCTGTGCAAAGTTTGAAAGATGGGTATTAAATTTGGTGACATCTATATAAATAAATAAGTTGAAAAGAATAAAACAATAAACCACAAATCAAGGAAAAATTTGTAGATTGACGAAAGTTGCAAGCCAACGTTTTTTTATACCCTCCACCTTGGAAAGGAGGGTATATTAACTTTGTCATTCCGTTTGTAACATCCTTAAATATTCGTCTTTGACCCCATAAAGTATATATATTCATGATCAGCATAAAATTCTAAGTCGATTTAACGATGTCCGTCTGTCTGTCTGTCCGTCTGTCTGTCTGTCCGTCTGTCTGTCTGTCTTTAGCAGAGCTATTTGCATTGTGTCTAGGATGGTTGGTATTGAAAATGAGATATATCGGTCCACGTTCTGGTATAGTCCCCATATAACGGTACCTCCCGATATTCGGTATTTTGATGATTTATGCCACATTTTTTCACGGATTTGTCTGGAAATTGGTATTTGTAGGTCATAACGGGTCCCTGAGCATGTGGCAAAATATTGCATGTATAGGTCCACGTTGTGGTATAGCCCCCATATAAAGGTACCTCCCGATATTCGGTATTTTGATGATTTATGCCACATTTTTTTCACGGATTTGTCTGGAAATTGGTATTTGCGGGTCATAATGGGTCCTAGTTCGTGTGGCGAAACATTGTAATTATAGGTCCACGTTTTGGTATAGCCCCCATATAACGGTACCTCGCGATATTCGGTAATTTGATGATTTTTGCCACATTTTTTCACGGATTTGTCTGAAAATTGGTATTTGTTGGTCATAATGGGTTCCAGCTTCGGTGGCGAAATATGGCATGTATGGGTCCATGATTTGATATAGCCCCCATATAACGGTACCTCCCGATATTCGGCATTTTTATGGTTTTTGCCACATTTCTTCTAATGTTTCTTTTACCCTAAGGTGGAGGGTATTAAAAGTTTGGCCCGGCCGAACTTAATGTTTTTTACTTGTTTTTATATCAAAGTGTAGGCTTTTTTGAAGACTAAAACTAACCGTTTACAATTAATATTAGGTTCTTAAAAATAAACTTTACTCGGAGCCAATCGAAATACGGATACCCGATTGCCTTCAAAATGCCCTTGGTTGAGACTGCCCTTTTTAAACGCAGTAGCATCTCTTGTACTGGTTCTTACATTGTTCAATTTTATGCAACGGAACCTTCGATATATATTCATATACAGGGTTGCCCATATTCGACGGACCCATGACTCTTTGGGCCCATTCCAATCGACGAGGCTTGTCCGCAGGCAACATTCTTTGCGTCAATTAAATTTTGTACGGGAACAAATGCAAATCAATGCGAATAATCCGTTGTAAAGGGGCTGTTTGAGCTGTATTTGATATATTTCCCTGAATATCGTTGTTACGGAGTGCATGTTACGGCTGTGGGTAACGAATACAACAAATCGGATGAACAATAAATATGGGAGCTATAGCTATATGTGAACCGATTTCGATCAAATTTTGCACACTTATTTTCAGGCCTAATTTGGTTGTATGTGCAAATTCTATACTATTCGGGCTGATATTACACGTTTGGTGCACAAAAAAAAGCAAATCGGACGAAGATATATACGGAAGCTATATCTGAATTTTTACCGATTATCTCCAATTTCAATAGGGTTCGTCCTTAGGCCAAACAAATGTTGTTTGGAAAATTTCATCTCAATCGGATAATAAATGCGACCTGCATTTTGTTCACAAGAATACATGGACAGACGGACGGACGGACTGACATGCATAAGTCGACTTAGAATGTAATTCTATACAGATCATCAAAAGGAACTATAGATCTATCTCGTTTTCTTTTGCCTGTTGCAAACAAATGTACAAAGACATAATACCCTGACCACCTTGTGGTGTGCGGTATAAATATAGCAAAAATGACCAAAATACCGAATATTGGGAGGTATCGTTATATGGGTCTATACCAAAACGTGAACCTATACACAGTGTTACGTCACACGAGCTAGAATACTTTACGACCCACAAATACCAATTTTCAGACAAATCCCTAAAAAACACCGCAGGGGGCTATAAACGTGGACCGATTTCATCATTTTCAATACCAACCATCCTAGACACAATAAACATTTTTCTGCTAAATTCTGATGCTCTACGTCAAATAATGTGGGCTGTATCGTGATTTCAACAGACAGACGGACAGACAGAGAGGCGGACATCGTTGAATCGACTTAGAATTTTATGCTGATTCTGAATATATTTACTTTATGAGGACTATGACGAATATTTAGAGATGTTACAAACGGAATGACAACAATAATATACCCTCCCTTCCAAGGTGGGTCTATGACAAATATTTAGGGATGTTACAAACGGAATGACAATGACCTCCCTTCCAAGGGGGAGGGTATAAAAATGAGCTCCAGGATGCCCTTCTAAAACTTTTAACATCATGCGATCAGAATTTTTGGAATTATAAACAATATTGGCAAACAAAACGTTTATTTGGTGAACATTGGACATACCAAATACTTAAAGTAATCGAAACAATATTATTTAGGACTGGCTGGCCCGGTCCGCGTTGCCGGCCTGTACTTTTAGTCTTTAGTGCATATTTTTTAAAGCATAATAATTAACAGATCTGAGTTATGCAAGGGGCTCTTTTTTTATTATAAGTAATGACTCCATAGTAATTTCTAAATAGAAATAAATATTCATGGCAAAAATTATAATAGATGTTCACCTATCATCAGTTTTAGATATTTTGAATAGGTTGATCTTATTTTTCAGCCATAGGCTTTAATTTGAGTGTTAAAAACCTTTATGATATAGAACATCTATAATAGCACCATGTGAAAACTCATCTCAATTTTTTGGTATTGCAAAGAGCTGAACAACATTTTTCATTGGGGGTTAAAAATTCAATAGAATACAACATTTTCTTTTCTGACCACACATTGGTTGGGGACTATACCTAAATAAATACCTATGTGGACAATTATGTAAGATTGCTTTTTTTAGTTAAATCAATTGATGAATGTGGCCAAGACCAAGATAAACCTACTCCGAAAGTTTAAAAGAGGTAAGAGGTTTTTACCCCTTAGAAACAAAGATGTCAAATAAAGCAAAAAAATAAAATGGGAAAAATTGACCAAGACCCCGAAAATGTTTACAAGCGCCCAAAAGCATTTTGGTGAGAATTTTCCAGAAAAAATGTGCTTCGTGATGGAATTCAAGCGTGATAATGTGATTTCTTTATATTTGGCTGGAAAACCACAATGGGCTTTCGTTAGAGCACTCCAGCATTTAAATGTGAATAAATCTTTTTTGTCTCGTACCTCGTCGCTCGTTACTGTGATACTGGTAGCGTAGCTCGCTCGCATTAACAACCGTGGCATCAGAATAAATGCCGAATATTATCGCGAAAATATTATGGAGGGTGTACTAAAGCCTTGGGCACGCAAACATTTTGTCCGCAGACCTTATACATTCCAACAGGAATGTGCACCATCCCACAATGGCCAAATTAAAAAAAAGTAAAAATTATGGCGTTTGACTTTGTTGCAGTTTTTTTATATCATCCTGGGTGTATTTATTGTTTTGAAAAATAAAAAAAAAAAATATATTAAAAACCAATGATTGGAAGACACGTACATTGCGGCTCGCGCATTAAAGCTATTGACCAGTTTAGCCATGAAATTGAAAGATTGAACAGTTTCGATCATATTTTTCAGATTTCATTAATTTTTCGCGCTATTTAACTCATTTTAAAACTGAGGAAAAATATGAAAAATATAAAAACAACTTGGTGTATATAATTTTGAATGAGTCTGACAGGAAGCGGGCATAGCCTCAGGGCTGTATTTCTGTAGTTTTACGAAGCTATTCTACCTCCTTATTGTACCATGGGTTGTACCATAACTGAGTACGGCATACAACAACAACAGAAGTTAGAAAAGTTACGGACTCACTGATGTGTACTCGTATTAGTCTACTGTAGGCATTCTTGCATAATATAGCGGAATAAAGTTAAGCGATGGAAACGACAAAATTTTGAAACGTGTAATCACACTGCAAATTTGAGATCCCACTACATTTCATTTCATTATTTAATTTCAAATAATTAATTGTTGTTGTTTTAAACATTTATTTACATTCATTATTTTTTAAATTAACATTTAACTTAACATATAACATAACAACAATGCAGGACAAGAACATTATCTGGAATGAATTCACTGGAATTAATTTCAAGAAAATGTATACTGGAAAGGTAGCTAAGAATGCAGATGCCATAGCATGGATGACCTTTATGCTAAAGCTTACAGGAAAAAGACAAAAAATACAGAAAGTGAACGCAGAATAAAAAACTTATTTGTTGTAGGAAGACAATGTGAAGGGAGGAATGTGCGTATTGGTCTGTGTATTATCGGCCGTTTCCTTATCCTCGGGAATTTCAGGATCTTCACGTTCCTCTTCCTCGTCAATGATACTGATGTCACGAATCGAAGGGCGGTGACTGCGGCGCCAACCTGGAATGGAAGTATGATAAGAAACAAATGATGGAAACTATGTTCACAAACTTACCTTCAGTTATTTGTGGCTGTCTAGTTTTCGTTAAAAGTTTTGTGCCCGAAACCGAAATTAAAATGGCGCCCAAGGGAGCGGTCAATACAATAGACAAAACCGCAATTGTTTGTACAACATAAGCGTAGTGTTTCTCACTTTCCGTGGCATTCGCATCTAAATTTTTGAGAGCTACGGGTCCCAAAGCGGCTTGCACGGTAGCTTTAGACATCCATGAAAGAGCCACAAAGAACTTTTCCTTGACATTAAGGCGATCACCGAAAGCAATACCAGCCGTGCAGAGTATACGCAAAACAGCTGCCCCAATAATACAGCCTACACCGACGGACACAATATCGGGATCAAGTTCGTTTATCTAAAGAGTATTAATAAAATAAAAATCAGGGGATAGGGTTATGGGTTTTAGTTTTTACTTACCTTGACAGTGGAACCAGTGATACCAAATAGAATTGGTTCGAAAATCATCCAAAAGATTTCAAAAGCTGTCGAAACGGGATTGTCCTCAACTTCCCAGCCCTGTTTGCACCAAAACAGATTTGAAACAAAGGCAGCAAAGACTGCAGCCAAGGGTCCTGCCCCTTCGTATCCTATTTCCTCGCTACCATAAATAGCCACCAAGCCACCGGCAAACAACATAATGGTTCGCATGGGCACAACGTATGGATCACCTTTTTCGGGGAAGAATCTGGCAATATAACCCCAGACTACGCCAAAAGCCAGACCGCCAATAATACAAACTGGGGCCTGAGAAATTTGATAGCCAAGACCACGATCCGAAAACATAACACTGCTGATGATACCAAAAACGGCAACAGACAAGGCATCGTCAATACCAGCCACGGCAATAATCAAAGTTGGAATGCCCTTGGCAACTCCATAGCCTTTTGTGCGCAAACGGAAAAGACAAGGCACCACCACGGCAGGAGAAACGGCCGCAATAATTGAGCCCAAAAGGAAAGCCCAAACCCAAGGTAGGTCCAAGAAGAAATGGCTGGTCACCCCGATGATAATACATTCCACAATCCAAGGAATGATGCCCAATTTGAGAATAGTCTTATAGACTTTTTTGAAAGCCTCAGGTTCCATTTCGAGGCCAGCTCGAATTAAAATAATTGTTAAGGCAAATTTACGCAAGTGAGCCGTGACTATGGAGAAGTCTCCTTCCAAATTGGTCCAGCCAACATTCTGCGAAAAAAAACAATTCCAATTCAATATTTCTGTATGTACTAAAAACAAATGATGTACCCACCTGGAAGAGTATGCCCACCAACAGCATACCAATGAGACGCGGCAATGTTGTCAAAGATATTAAATAGCCACCGAAATTTGCTGCTACAGCCAGTACCACCAAACTGAAGAGCTGACCACCAGGGGCAGCTGAATCACCAATAATCACAAAGGCAGTTATCCATAATAATACACCGATCAAAATTAAAACCAAAATTCTGGCAAACTGTCGGAACGATGGACACAATGGGTAGGGGAATAGTTTTTGCCAATGTGGTGGTTCCCATGATGGAGTTGTTTCCTCGCCACGACATTTCAGACAAAAGGTGTAAAGCCAAGATTCCTCAACATTGCTGCTGTAGTTAGATTGCGATTGTTGATGTTGAGCAATTTTGGCATTCAGCGTATCCAGCGCTGAACTTCTGTAGGGACGATTGTCTGAAAACCAAACAAGAGAATCAATATTAAAGATCCACTATATAATAAATTAAGGAAATGACAAAGATGAGTGCGGTGTTCTATGTGATACCCTAAACGCAGACGAAGATGGAAATTACTCGAATTCGAGCGAGCCAAGCTGATAAGCTCAAATGAAAAGATAAAATTCGGACGGTCCGAAATTTTTAAATATTGGCTGAAGCTGTTAGAAAAAGTGACTTAAATCGTCAAAATACAGGACATACGAAGTTACATATGTTTGCTATAGCAGAATGTAGTTCTGAATATTCAATATTCTGCCAACGGAGCTAGAACCCATTGCGAACTACAAATACTAATTTTTAGACAAATCAATGGAAAAATGTGATTAAACCATCCAAATATTAGGGCTACACCAACACGTGGACCTATATATACAATGTTCCGCCACCGCAGCTGGACCCTATTACGAACTAGAAATACCAATTTTTAGACCAATCCGTGAAAAAATGAGGCAAAAACCATAAAAATACCGAAAATCGGGAGGTGCTGTTAAATGGAGGCTATATTACAACGTGAACCCCTACAGCCAAAATATGAATTTGAAACAATCCCTTGCAAAAATGTGACTAAAATCATCATAATACCGAATATCGGGAGGTACCGTTACATGGAGCCTATACCAAAACGTGGACCGATGTATTGCATTTTCAATACCAACTAGACACTATACAAACTATGATGTCTAATTTCAAAGCTCTATGCCAAAAAATGTGGGCTGTGTTGTAATTTCAATCGAATGACGGATGGACATCGTAAAATCGATTTCGAGTTTTATGCTGATCATTAATTTATTACACTTTATGGGCTCTAAGACGAATATTTGGAGGTGTCACATGCGGAATGACGAATTTAATGCATCCTCCTTTTCGTTGTGGAGGGTATAAACATTGAACAAACTCAAATTTTCGATGTGAACGCATTATCCTCGGCTTTGAGTGGGAGAAAATTCGTATAATCGAGCAGATTATTTCTTGTATTTCTATGTATGCGTATTTTATTGTACAAGATCTACGCCCCAACTCCAAATCGGAAAAAAATGTTTCCACCAATTTTCACTCTTAGATAACTAGAACAGAATGTATGTCTACATCACTTTTCATATTACTTATTTATAATTATTATCTTCTATATATAAAAGTCAATTCTTGTTCGTTGGTAATGGAATCAGTTGAGAACGGCTGAACCGATTTGCATAATTTTTTGTACAAACGTTCGTCCTACTCCGATTTAGGTTTTGCGTCCATTTTTTTTCGATTTATCTAAAATCCTAATATTTGCCAAAATCATGAAGATATCTATTCCACAGTTAGCATACGATGTAATCTTGACTCTCCACCCACTTTATTTATTATTTCAGGATTCCTTTTGGAACTGAAAATTCTTATTGAAAAAAAAACCGAAAAAATCGAGAAAGTTTGCATATTTTCTATACATGCTGTTATATAGTTGCCATACCAAAATTTTCAATTTCGATTAGATATGGAAATAATCCATCCAACGAGAACTCAAAATTGAAAATTCATTGGGACTTCAATCAGTGAAATACCGAATATTAAGAAGCACTGTAATATACGGACAATACAAAATAGTGGAGTGAACTGAAAATATATTAAGAAAAGGATTCATATACTCGGAAAATTCTGCCGAAAAAATTCTGCTTAGCCATACACAAAGGGCCGCAAATATTTTGCCCTATACTCCGCAAAAGTTACGATAATGTTTTAAATTTGATGTAGTCCTAGGGGTTACATGAGGAATCATTTGTACAAAATATGTATCAGGTTGGTATACATTGTGATATAGCCCTTTTCAAATTTCTCAAATGTTGGTAATTTGAAATTTTAGAAAAAAACTTCTTTCAAATTATTATAAATATAGGACCATGCTTCATTATAACTCTTATGTGAAGGCATCCGGTGATTTTAGCTATTATGAGAGTCTTGGTCACATTTTTCAATTGATTTTGCCCTTATTTGGCATCTAGCTTCTGGTAAAAGACCTCTTCGTGGAACTTTTTCAATGTCAATATTTCGGAGTAGGGCATATATATATATATAAAATTATATAAAATTACCTCCTGATTCTACCTAATTCGAGGGCTTTGATTATATTTTCGAATCGATTTGACTTACAATGTGTGTCTAGGCTACTTTGGGTGTAGAGAACCATCTTACATGGACCTATTATAAACAGTTAATGTTTACTTTTTAATATATATGCTATATTATTTAGGTTTTTAACTCTAAAACTAAAACCTCTTACTGAAAAATAGGATCAGGTTTTTTAAAAGACGTATTTATTTAAATTTAATCGAGTCATCATTTATACTAAAAATTGTGGCACTTATGTGAGCCAGATTTGTGAATTATTATGCTTTAAAAACTATGCATTAAAGACTAAAACTTCGGGCCGCAACGCGGACTGGGCCAGCTAGTTTATTTATAAAAAAAGTTGACCTGAAATTTGGAATTGTTATCAATAAGAATGATTAGGGAAGGGTGTTCAACTAATGCCTCTTTTATCGAATGTAAAGTGTTTAGATTTTTAAATGGAATATTTCAAATTATAACTGGAATAAATCTCATTATAATAATGGAATAATTTTATTAACAAATGAAATATATCGAAATACAAATTAAATCTTTCTATGGAAAAATTCTATTATAAATAGAAAATCGGCATTTTAAAGGAAATAATTATGTTTTCAAATGGAATATCACGAATTACAAATAAAATAATGAATTATTGCAGAGTTCAACAAATGTTGATATTTTTATACCCTTCACCTTGGAAAGCAGGTTATATTAACTTTGTCATTCCGTTTGTAACATCCCTAAAATTTGATCGTAGACCCCATAAAGTATGCTTACTCATAATCAGCATAAAATTCTAAGTTGATTTAATGATGTTGGTCTGTCCGTCTGTTTGTCTCTCTGTCTGTCTATTGAAATCACGATACATCCCACATTATTTGACATAGAGCGTCAAAATTTAGCAGAACAATTTGTATTGTGTCTAGGATGGTTGGTATTGAAAATGAGATATATCGATTTACGTTTTGATATAGTCCCATATAACGGTACATCCCGATATTCGGTATCTTGATGATTTTTGCCACATTTTTTACGGATTTGTCTAAAAATTGGTATTTGTAAATCATAATGGGTTCTAGCTCCGGTGGAGAAACACTGTATGTATAGGTCCACGTGTTTGTATAGACCCATATAACGGTAACTCCCGATATTCGGTATCTTGATGATTTTTGCCACATTTTTTCGTGGATTTGTCTAAAAATTGGTTTTTGTGGGTCATAATGGGTTCTGGCTCTGGTGGCGAAACATTGTATGTATAGGTCAACGTTTTTGTATAGACCCATATAACGGTACCTTCCGATATTCGGTATTTTGATGATTTTTGCCACATTTTTTCGTGGATTTGTCTAAAAATTGGTAAAAAAAAGTTGTGTGTCATAATGGGTTCTAGCTCCGGTGGCGAAACATTGTATGTATAGGTCAACGTTTTTGTATAGCCCCATATAATGGTACCTCCCTATATTTGATATTTTGATGATTTTTGCCACATTTTCCCACGAATTTTTCTAAAAATTGGTATTTGTGTGTTATAATGGTTTCTAGCTGGTATGGCGAAACATTGTATGTATAGGTCCACATTTCGATGTAGCCCCAATATAACGGTACCTTCCGATATTCCGCGTTTTGATGATTTTTGCACATTTTTAAAGGATTTGTGCAGAAATTGGTATTTGTAGTTCGTAATGGGTGATAGCTCGTGTGGCGAACAATTGTATGTAGGTCTACGTTTTGGTATAGCCCCCTTATAACGGCACCTGCCGATATTCAATATTTTAATAAAAATTGATATTTTTAGTTCATAATGGGTTCTATCGCTGTGCAGAACATTGAATATCTAGTTCCATGTTTTTCTATATCGCACATATAACGATACCCACCGATATACGAATTTTAATAATCCTATGACAATCCTTGAAGTTTAAAAATGACTATAACGGTTCCCGCTTTGGCATGGCCCATATAACGGTCTCACTCACTTTCGGTTTTTTGATAAGTATTACGCTTTTATTCAGATACTTTTATGTAAAAATGTTTCCTTTACCCTAAGGTGGAGGTTATAAAAAGTTCGGCCCGGCTGAACTTAATGTTTGTTTACTTCTTTTATTGTCAAAATATATTGTGCTAAGACTTTCCACCGCCTAGTCTAGTATTGCACTCTCATGTGAGAAAAAGTTCCTTTTGATGATCTGCATAGAATCACTTTCTAAGTTGATTTATGCATGTCAGTCCGTCTGTCCGTCCGTCTGTCCATGTATTCTTGTGAACAAAATGCAGGTCGCATTTATTGTCCGATTGAGATGAAATTTTGCAAACAACATTTGTTTGGCCCAAGGACGAACCCTATTGAAATTGGAGATAATCGGTAAAAATTTAGATATAGCTCCCATATATATCTTCGTCCGATTTGCTTTTTATTGTGCACCAAACGTCTAATATTTGTCCAAATGGGATGAAATTTGGCACATACGACCGAATTTAGTCTAGAAGGTAGTATGCCAAATTTGGTGAAGATCGGTTCAGATATAGTTATAGCTCCCATATATATTGTTCATCCGATTTGTTGTATTTGTGACCTACAGCCGTAATATGCACTCCGAAACAACGATATTCAGGGAAATATATCAAATACAACTCAGAAATATCTTTGCCAAGTTTTATCGAGATCGGTTCAGATTTGGATATAGTTCCCATATATATTTTTATCCGATTTCAAATTAATTTCGCACCAAATGGGCAATACAAGTCCGAATTTAAAAGATACAAATGCTTCGGCATATTTAGTCCTTTGAATTTTAAATTATAATTATAATCATAGCGTGTTTGATTGAATTCTCCCATAAAAACTTTTAATTATTAAGTGGAGCTCAACTAAATTAGCAAAGTGGTGTAGGGTATCATAAAATCGGCCCCGCCCGACTTTAGGACTTTCTTTACTGGTTTCCGTTGTAAAATAAATTCGGAAAATCCTAAGAAATAAGCAAAATTCAATTTTCTTTGCGGACATCCATAAAAACACTTGTATATGAATATAATTTAAATCAGGGTCATTTTAAATAGATTAAATACATAAACGATGAATCTGTGTTTCAAACTAAACGCATAGATTTTTGTATAACACCTTGTTGTGTTGCGGTGTAATTAACACCTTCAAATCCTAAATGTATCACAGCCGAAAACCAATGCGTAAAAGTAATGACCGAATGGAAAAATACAAAAATGATATTCATTCACTTGGAGTTACTGACGCGAATTAGGTGTTAAGATTAAACAAGCAAACAAATAAATATATACATACACACATACATGTACACATTTGTGTGTATAAACATATTTTCAATTAGTACACACCCAATCATTATTTCAATAAAAATAAAGAATACAATAATCAGACAATGTTCAAATACTTGTCAATCGCACTAATTGTTAAAAGTAACAAGAAGTGCGACAAAGAGACAAACAAAAAATTGGAAAAACACACAGAGAATTGAGGTGAGTGGCAAGAGATAGTCTCTCTGCCCACTGACACCCTCTGTCATGTTTAGGTTTTTAATCGCAACTTATCGAAAAATTAAATTGATATTGAATTATACTGGATGGCAAGAGTAGGGGGGAAGCAGCCAGTATTATCTTTGCTTATAACTGTTGTAAATAATACCCTTTTAACCCAAATACAAATGAAAACACTTATTCCAAGCGAGCTGTTGTTGTTGTTATTAATATTGACAAATTCTTGTTAATTGGTATTATCAGCGTGTATGGCAAGGAATGACAGACACTTGTTTCTGTCCATCGTGACAACGTATTTGGCTATTAATTTTTAATTTTGACATAATCATTAGTTTAATCAGTTTTGACCATTCACTTACTTACTGTTATATTATGTGAATTATTTAAAAAAAAAAAAGCAAAAACAAATCATATATAGCTTTAAACTGTTTCTAAAAAAACTGTATCCAACGTCATCGGAATAAAGGCAAAATGAGATATTTTGGAAATATTTTTAATTTTATACTTTGGGGAATTTATTTTCCGTAATAACTTTTGATTATTTGTGATTAAAATATATTTAAAAAAAAGACAGAACATTTTAAAATACACTACGTATGGGGTACAATTCTTGCGTAATAGTCTACGAAAATTCATTTAAAAACCTCTATAGACAATCTTATAATTCAAGGCTTGTCATCTATAAAATCTTCTAAAATACAAAATTGAAACAATTATGTGAGTTAATGTGTGAAAATACCGAAAATTGGTGGGTATAGTTATATGTGCGCTATAGGAATACGTATTCAATGTTCTGCCACCGGGCTAGAACCCCAAAATACTGAGGTACCGTTAAATGAGGTATACAAAAACGTTGACCTATACATACAATGTTTCGCCACCGGAGCTAGAACCAATTATTACCCACAATTAAATCGACTTAGAATTTTATGCTGATTATGAATATATATACTTTATGGGGTCTACGATGAATATTTGGGGATGCTACAAACGGAATGACAAAGTTAATATACCCTCCTTTCCAAGGTGGAAAGGGAACTTTCCTCCTCGATAAAGGTTACTTTGCAATCTAACCTTTCAAAGAGACCCTGACTTCAATTTTTCGGTTCAACATTCAAAATCTACTGGATTTTTCCTGCAATTATTGAAAAAAATTGATTTTTTTGCACTGCGTATTTGATGTAGGTGTAAGTCTTGAAATAACTTTTTATTTTCGTAGTTATGGCAGAGTGTGTATAGTATTTATGTGCAAAAATTAAGACATCGAGTTCAATGCCAGAAGCAGACAATAAAAGTGTATTGAAGAAAAATTAAACATGACCTCTATATGCAGGTATCCCGAGGTTTCAGTTCCTATTTTCCATAGAATTCCCTGTTATTTGATATTTCGGGGTCGTTATGAAGTGAACATCTTTGAAAAATGGTTGAAAATATACCGTATGAACAGGTTTCAGACAATACATAGACCCTAAAAAGCTTTAACCAAATTTTGAGATTTTAGACATAATTAAAATTTTTTCATTGTAAGAAAAGTTCTCCGCCCCGATTTGTTTTTGTGTCACATAGTACTGTCGTTTTTCGCCCCGCACCCCACAGCAACTCAGATTCGATAATTCAACTCAACTGTTATACTTTCAATAAGCTCTTAATAAAGGAGTTAATCGTAAAATTCTTATTTTTGGTAATCCCTGTGATTTATTAATCAATTCATCGTCATCAATCATTTCAAGTTTTCGAAATAAAATGATCGATTCTATTGCCACTAATCGAACAATAGGTATGTCCCGTCTAATCAATCATCTGTGGGGGTTATAGCTTTTAAACATAAGAACGCCATAAAAAGAAAACTGAAACTGACTACCATCTAATCTTTATGGCACTTCAACTGAAGAAATATTGGCGTCTGATTGTTGGCATTGGTCAATAGCCACGAATTAACCATAGAAAAGTTGATTGTTAGAAATCTATTTGGTCGCCTTTAAGTGTGTCTAGTAAAATCACATGTTCCTTCAATACAGATTTGTGTTTCGAAGCCCACTTGTGTTTTCTGTTTATTCGGATGCCAAAGGGTGCTTTGTCCTAGTCCAGTAGCACTTTCAATATACCCTCAATAAAAGCCATCATAAATTTCCGTAAAGAAAGCGATTTTTGAAGCAGCATTGTAGTCGTAAAATTGTATCGTAATTGTAACGCTTTTAAAAAGTCGTAAATGAAACATGCAAAACCATGGAGGGCATTATTGTTGAATGCCTTGGGCAGAAAAAGTTAAGGACTGGGAGGGCCTTGGCACAGAGGTGAAAGTACCTTTTTTATTGAGATTACCACGAACGCTCTGTGTTCTTACGTTCGTTCATATCTTCATTTGATATCAGAGAACGGCATGACATGTATTGTCGAAACAATAAAATTGAGTTCTTTCAGTAGTAGATAATTGGAAAGATATTTGTTTTTGAGGTATTTTGAAATGATTGTTATTTCCGCAAATTGCTCCATAATCCAAATGGTGTGTGGGGGTTGTTAAGTGGACTAAGTGGATATTTTCAATGGAGTGGATAATAAAATGTTTAAGGTTGTATATTTTTGCACAATTTCACCTTCTTGTAGGATATTTACATATGATAGCTGCGGATAGAATTGGTATGAATTAGAAATATAAACATTAAATAGTGAATATATAAACTGTATGGAGTTCGGCAGAAAATTCATTTTTCTTTGTTTCTAACCATTGTCGGATATCACAAATTCCAAAATATACAGAATTATTTAGACTTAGTGTCTGCATGATTCTACGAGAGGAGATAATAAACCCCTACACCACATAGTGTTAAGGGTATTATGTCTTAGTGCATTTGTGCATTTGTTTGCAACATGGAGAAGGAAGCGAGGTAGACCCATAGCTACTTTTGAGGATCTTCATAGAATCACTTTCTGAGTAGATTTATGCATGTCAGTCCGTCCGTCCGTCTGTCCATGTATTTTTGCGAAAAAAAATGAATGTCAAATTTATTATCCGATTGAGCTGAAGGTTTCTAAACAATATTTGTTTGGCCAAGGACAACCCCAATTGAAATTGGTTGGAATCGGTTAAAATATAGTTCCCATATGTATTTTCAACAGTATCATACCAAATTTTATCGAGATCGGTTCTGATTTGTATATATCTTCGATATACATATTCATTCGGTTTTTCGGTTATTGTGAACCATATGTTTAATATCAGCCCAAATTGGATATATTTTTTTCAAAAGAATTATACCATTCGGTGAAACTCGGTTCGGTATATCTTCTGCTCAATAAATATTTATACCCTACAACATAATATATTGGGGGTATTATAAGTTTGATTGGGCCAAAAATTATGTAACACCTCTAAATATTGATTTCCCACATGGGAAAGTGTATATGGATCTTCCTATCTCGCCGAGCTGAGTCGATCTAGCTATATATGTACGTCCGTCTATCCATATTAATTTGTAATCGCAATTATGGCCCGATCCTCACGAAATTTTTCATGGAGGTGAAGTTATGGTCAGAATAGAAGCCTATAGCTTTTGGAGATGATCGCATAATATTTAGGGGTTAAAATGGGCCAAAAACTGATTCATGATTTGCAGGTTTAGTGGTTAAAATAGACAATAGCATTTGTCTTAAAATAAGGTCAAATTTTTCATTAAACCGCGAATGTTAGTTAGATTGTTTATATCTCAAAAATGATTGGACCGATTTTGACAAATTTTGCAATTCAGAATGGCTTCTTGGCATAAAATAATAAATTCTAAAAAAATCGCATAGAAAGATGCTAATAATGATGTTAATATAGATTTTTTAGTATTTTGTGATATTTTTTTATTGAAACCAATCGATGCGGAATTTTGCTGGGAAGAAAGTTAAGGGCAGGAAAGAAGTCTAGCATTTTGGATAACCATTGTATTTTACTTAGCTGTAAAATGGGCCACAATAACTAACTACACGACGGAGTACGTAAATATTGGGCAACTTAGATTATATTTAGCTCGAATATGGATCACAACTTTCGTATGAAATTGCTTTGAATACCTAACAACACGACGGAGTACGCAAATGCCCCCCGACAAGAAGCTAAGGGTAACATCTGGGAAGGGCTCTATGACATCATCAATTAATCACGAAAACTTCCAAGACGGAAAATAAAATAATAATGTTTTACTTACCGTAACTGTGTAAGGACCCGTCGTCCGATTCCTTGTCATGACCAGCATTAACCAAAATACTTTTCCTCCTAACGGGACCAATTTCTGTGTGGGAATGGACAGAGGTCTAAAATAGTAATAATAGAAAAATGTAGTTTAATATTAATTTCATAATAACGATAGACAACTTGTACGTATTTTCTAACTAAATATTTCAACAAAACAAACAGAAAAAAATAAAAATTGTACAACAAGTTAATAAAGCATAAACTCTGCAATTTCCTACGTCTAACACCTAAATTATACACTTCCAATGCACATCGACATGATGCACACAAATACTAATTCCGATTTCCCTTCTCTACTATTTTCCACTTCAACAAAATTCTATATCGAATTTCAACAAAATTGCATAAATCCATGTTTTCCGATAGAAAACAAATTATGTTTATTTTTGTTTATAATAATTTAATAATGGTACATTGTGGTACAATATGCTTTCGGAGGCGAATGCAAGAACAACGCCACAACAACCATGGAAATACATATTTTCAATAATAGTCTCCGACAAACGGACAAATGCACAATAACCAAAACAACAACCAAACCAGCACTAATTCCCAATTCTATGCAAATGTGCAAAAATGCATTTCACAATTCAATTTCGAAAAATCTCTGTCTAAATCACATGGGCATTTCAATGAAATAACTAAAATGGACGTTTTTTTTTTTTTTTTTTTTTTTTTTTTTTTTTTTTTTTTTGGTTTACCCTCGCGAGTAGCAAGTCAAACATCAAATTATTTAAAATATAATTTGTAGCTTGTGGTGGAGGCATAAAATCTGTGATGAGGTGATATACATGCTATTAAATTAACAATTTTGTGGAAATGTCAACAAACTAACAACTGAAAAAGTGTTCGCGGTATCACCACTGATTAAATTATTTTCTTTTAATTTAGGTTTATTATTTTTTTTATGTTGTACGAGAATATATATATTTTGATGTGACGAATTTCGTGTTGAAGACGCATGTTTAAACGCCAATTTAAAACGAGTACTATATGTTCAGCAAGTACTATAGTACGAGTACTATATTTTCAAATGTTTATAACATAAAGAATATAAAGTCATACAGGAGGCGAATTCAGGCCAAAATCTTCTCTTGCTGTATGTAGACTATAAATAATTTCAGATATTTTTTTCACTGATAAATATAAGATTTAAATTTAAATATTGATCTGGCGGCTCTACAGAAAGAATTGCTTATCTCTATGTACAAAATAATAGACTGACTAAGATTCAACGCCCAGACAAAACGCCTGAAGCAAGAGTCTTGCAACCTGAGAAGTTTTGGTGTGTAATTAGTTTGGATTTTTGGAAATTCGGTCAAAAAAGTTTACTAAAAGTACTGAAATGCATTGAACAGAATTCTAGAGTTTTATGCTGATCAAGAATATATATACTTTGTTGGGTCTAAAATTATTATTTCGATGAGTTACAAACGGAATGACGAATTTAATGTACCCTCCATACTATGTATGGTGAAGGGTATAGAAATTGGTATGTGAATAAAGGTTGGAAAGTAAGTTTGATATATTAAGGTAGTTTATGTGTACTGAGTGTAGGAAGTGTACTAAATGGTACCAAATTTGGAACAGTTTGGTTTATGGTGAGTGGCTGAATCTGGAGTTGATGCTTTTGGAAACGGACGAAAAGTGCAAAAAAAAGCCACAAAATGTGCCGTTGGGTGTTGGCATAGAGATGAAATTCAGAAATTTTATATCGAGATCACTGTTGGTGTCTAGGATGGATAGAGGGGAGCCGTTTTTAACATAACGTGATATAACTGGACGAAAAGTATTATAATAAATTTGGAATTGGGTCTTAGGATACATCTGGTATTGTGAAATTTGAAGAATATGAATACCACTGTTGGTACATAGCTTTGATAGGGTGATTTGGAAATGTGTACTATGAAAAGTACTAAGTGATACTAAATTTGCCGTTGAGTAAATGGATAGTGCTTGAATCCTCATATTGAGGTCATTGTGGGATTGCAGGATTTAGATATGGTGGTGGCCAATTTTTATTATGAAAAGACGTTGAAATGGTTTGGGACAGAAAAATTGGACGGGGAACAGTGGTGCAGGTGTTATCGAACTGGTGCTGGTCTCAAATATAGATAGCCTTAATAAAATACAGTTTGCAAAATATTAAATTGTTTACGTTTCCTTTTGCTATACCTCAATATATTCGTCGGAAAATTGAATTTAGTTATGTCAGTCCGTCTGCTTTAATTAAGATAGAGATTAAATTTTTCATATTTTGTTGCAATTTGACAATTAAGTAGACAAAGTAATACGAAATCTTCTTTCCAAAAATTTTAAACATTGTTAAGGATTTGATGTAGGTAGGCAGTTGGATAAAACTTTCACGAAATCTGTTGATTTTTTCCAAAATATGATATTTAAAAATCCAAATCATTTTTTACCATTTTAAGAAAATATATCTAAAACATTTCGACCCGCATTAAATATTCCCTTTTTCTCAAACACAGTCATTTTCGTCTAGTCTCATTTTGGTAGATTCTTTTTTAAACGGAGAACTATAACAGGAAAATGCCTCAAAAACCGATTCTTAAAGTGATACCTATTATAAGATGTTATCGAGACTTCTACAAATATTTAGTTTAGTTTTTATCTTCCAATCGGGAACAAGTCCCTTAGGAGCTAAATGGCTCAAATATCTTCAACGTAGTTTGTTATCCAAAATTTTCAATAACAAATGTTAACAAAAATAGAGCCTATTTTATATTCACGCTAAAAAAGTTAATTTATTAAAACCCCTAATTTACATTAGAGGCCACTTATCAAGTGTCGGCTCGGAAGACCTGTTTCCATTGGATTTCGAATTGATGTATCAATGCGTGCTCAAGCGATTTAAATGAAAAAAAATTAATAAATATTTATGGTCAATTTAGCCAACTTGTTGTTGTTTTGCTTAGTCGCTGGCGGTTTGCCTGAATTATTCCATATTTTATGACACTTCTAAATAACATCAATGGTACATTTATCAATAAATTCCATTTAAATTATTTTATGGTTTCATTAACATGACTCTTGAATAGATAATTCAGTTAGGAGGGCCATTTATATCAAAGCGATAATTATGGTAATTGAATTTGTTCCAAAAAAATGCAGTATTTTTACGAATTTGTGATCTATTTCCTTTTAAAAATACATTTTTATTTGTTGTAATGTTTGATTGTTCTTGGTATATTTATTTTCTAATTATACTAGATGGGCTTACCTGTGATATTTTTCTACGTGGATTTTGTTCGTAAGCGGGATTATCATAGGCGCCAACGCTGCTGCGGCCTTCGTGCGCTGGATCTGAGATAATACTGACACGACGTTTAGGTTGATTGTCAATCACAATCGTATTTTTGTTTGTTCCGTTGGTATTTAAATCGTTGACATTGGGAATCCCAACATTCCCAGTCCCTCCAGAGGAGCCATTTGGTAAATTTTCTGAATTTTCATTCATGTTTTTATGGTGCTGCAAATAAAAAAATAACGAATTATTTGAAAAAGTTTGTAAATAAATATCTTTTGATTTGTTGTTAAAATATTTAATTATCAAATGCATTAATTATAAATGAAAATTACATTTAAAAACTAATTTAAAAACTAAAAAAACTAATAATTATTGTGAATCTTGAAATGGTTCTCAAAAAATTAAGACAGATTTTTTTAATTCCTCCAACCAAAAACAACAATTTAAACACAAAGAACAGAAATATAAATGTTACGGCATAAAAAGGGATTCACATAGATTTATTCGAATAAAAATACCAAATCTCGTCACATGCTATTGAGTTGTCGAATGTTATCTGAATTAAAAAACTTTTCCACTCACAAAATTTAGCAAAATACAATTTGTAGGCACAAAACATTTCTCACAATTTTAACATTATTTTTTAGGTAAATAGTTCCAGGAAATTTTAAAACACTGACTCATTTTTTTTTTTTTTTGAGAAAATCGTTTGATTTTATTGGTTTATTTTGTTTTTTTTTTTATTAAGATTAAATTCGCATTTATTGAATACTTTTCACGTAAAAGCTATTCGATGTAGTGGTGTTTTGCAGGTCAACAGCGTTAAATTTCATATCTGTGTATCTACAAATAAACAAGTTGTGTGAAAAGTCACGGTAGATGCGTATGAATCAAACGAGATAACAACCATCAAAAGTAATAAAATTTCCACTGCTTTTGTTGGCTTTTTACGTTTCAAAATGTAAAATAGCTAAAATCAGTCATACCTTCACATGGTCTTCTACGTCTGTCCATGTAATTATGTAAGAAAAGCATATTTTGCATTTACAGTCTAATGAAAATAAAATTTGCACAGTTCATTTGGTTGTCCCAAGAATTATCTATTGGAGATAAAACAAGTAAAAAAGCAGCTAAGTAAGGGAAGAATCTTAAGTAATTTAAAAAAAAATCCGTCGAAAAATACCGCTTAAATGACCTGCATCAGTCATTTTTGTCATAGGTTGTACTATCGATTCCGAACTTCAAATACGAAACTTGAAACAATTCCGGTGAATAATGTTGCTAATATCATCAAAATAACGGATACAGGGAGGTATCATTATATATGGGCTATAAAAGACGTGGGCCTGCATAGACAATTTTCTGGTACAGGTCGTAGTATTATTTGCGTGCTTCAAACTTTAAATTCGAAATTTGCAACAATTCCGTTCAAACATGTCGCTTAAATCATCAAAAATGGGAAAATGGGTGGGGGCGTGCCCTTATATAGGGGCTATATGATATCGTTTACCTATATAGACAATTCTCTTCCTGGGGCCAAACTTCTCATAAGAAACTCCTTACACGTATTTTCAGACAAATCCATTGAATAAATTAGCTACAATCATCAAAATATCGAATATCGGGAGGTACTATTATATGGGGGATATACGATATCGTGGACCTATATAGACAATTCTCTTCCAGGGGGTAAATTACCCACAAAGAACCCCTTGTGTACAATTTCAGACAATTCCATTGAAAAATGTGTCTAAAATCATAAAAATAGCCAATATCGGGTAACATTATATGGGGGCCATACGATATCGTGGACCTATATAGTCCATCTTCTAACTTGACCTGCCTGCACACAAAAGACTGATCTGTGCAAAACTTTAGCTTCCTATCCTAATTCGTTTTGACTTTAGCGTGATTAAAACAGACAGACAGATGGACCTACGGACAGGGCTAAATCTTCTTAGGGTTTTACGCTGATCATGAATATATATACTTTGTTAAGTCAAAAATTATTATTTCGATGAGTTACAAACGGAATGACGAACTTAATATACCTATGTATGGTAGAGGGTATAAAAGGTACAAACTTGGGAGCTATATGGGCCAAATAACCCATTACAAGGTAATGTAAACAAACTACCTTTTGCTTTACCAGTAGGTTGAAAATAAAAGAACTTATTTTCATTATTTCTAAGCAGTAGTAATTCGGTGTATGATTACAAATAATAAGTTTGAAAGTTCATTATGTTTATTTAAACATTAAAATATTAGGGCTGACGTAATGACGTACATGTGCGTACATGTGAAAAATGGTAAATATGTTAGTAGTGACAGTTGCCAATAATTGGCTAAGAACTCATTATTCGAGAATGGAAGTTTTTATTGGCATTTGCTTATACTTTTCTGAACATAATGTATTTTAATGCTAGAATCTCGGCTCTCAAATATGGAGAAAATTGTTTCGTATATTGCTATGACACCCACATATACGTTTCATACGAATTGATATTTTAATCCCTCAAACACGTAATATCCATTACAAAACAATGATAATCGGTACAAGACATTTCTATACTATAAATTCTGTCAAATGTGGTCGAAATCGGTTCGGATTTAGATATGGCTCCCAAACACCCTAAGTCGATGTAAATGATGCATGAACTTTGCTATATATCCAATTCAGTCGGATATCATACAATCAAGCTCCGACCAGAATAAAGTCTGTCAAATTTGGACCAATTTAACCAACATGATGGAAATCGATTTACATTAAGGTAAGCTCCCATATTTTGGTTCCATCTGATTTCAAATTTAAACAGTTGTTTAAGCCGTAATTCGCATTTAAAAACGATCATACTTGATATGATTTATTCCACACGAACTTTCAATGTAAACGCTATATACTCTTCACCAACTTTGTCCTTCCGATTTAACGATTTTCCTCTGTATGTCTGTCTGTTGGAGTCAATATACAGCCTGCGTCTAGGATGATATGTACAGAAAAAGAGGTACTATATAGGTTCCCGTTTTGTTATTTTGAAAACTTTAGCTACATTTTCCAACCTATCTCATTGATATTTGCAGTTTAAAGTGAAACAGAAACTTTTTTGTAATGTTTTCCTCACCTTACGACGGAGGGAATTAAAAGTTCATCCATGCAGAAGTTAACGTTATAAATATCTTAAGACACTACTTGCCACTGCTGAGTTTTGAGCTTAGTACCTTCGGTTTGGTTTTCTCTTACTCAAACCAACATTCTCTGTTTTCAAGAGTGTAATTTTCAGATGATAATTATAGTTAACTGTTACCTTACATTTGAATTACAAACATATTTAGACTAGTTTCCATATCATGTTAGAGTCATATGTAAAGTAATTTTTCACACTTCATAAATGTAACTGATTACGAAAGTAGAGCTGATACGAGGGCAGTTCGAAAACGCGGTATAAACAGAAAAAAAAAATAAGTTAAGATTGCAAATTTTCATCTCTGTTATGAACACATGTTAAAATTTGTTTCGATCTGGCAACTTCTTCATATAGAAACAGGTGTTCAAAAAAGACGCATCCATTTACAATGGAAAAATTAGAAATGCGTGCTGTCATTAAATATTTACATAAAAAAACTTTATCGGGACTTCAACGGTATTTTATTGATTGATTATCTGCAAAAGTGTAAAACAATAAATTCTGAGTACAATTGCAACCTTTTGGATCAATTAAATGTACAAATTCGAGAAAGACGTCCTGGCTTTCAACACAAACAAAAATAATTTTTCATCAAGACGACGCACCAGCGCACAAAAGTGTTTTAACAATGGCTAAAATCAACCCATTAAAGTACGAGTTATTTAACCTGACCACCAACCTTATTCTCCTGATTTAGTGGCTTTTACTTGTTCCAAAATCTAAAAATTATTTGCTGGCAAGCGTCTTACCTCAAATGAAGATGCAATTACAGTTGTAAACCACTATTTTGAAGACCTTGAGGAAAACTATTTTAATCAAGGGATAGAATTACTACAAAAACGTTTGAAGCTTCAGGAGATTATATTAAAAAATAAAAATATTTTCAAAAAACTAACTATTCTCTTTCATTGATAGGCTAAGAACTGGTGTACGGCTCTTTGAAAGATCACATCGCAAAGTAACCTATATAGAAAAGGGATTAGTTTCCCCCTATTCAATATTTAAGATTCCTTTGAATTTTTCCATAATAATTACATAGTGCCTTCGACAATTCTAATTGCAGATAAAATCCTATTACAGTTCGGGTTTTTTTGCCAAACTTTTTTAAGGTATTTTAGACCATGCACGTCCCCAATAATTTGCGATATGAATTGAAATACTTCAAGAATCATTGTGTGTCATGCAAAATAAAATTTATATATATATATATATATATATATATATATATATATATATATATATATATATATATATATATATATATATATATATACATATATATATTCCTTATATAATGGCAGATCCCGATTTCAAGAATTGTTGTTCGTTTTAGTCATATTTTCCGTTTAATTTCGTAAAATTTGTTTGACAGCAAAAAACAAAAAATGAATAGATAAAATAAAAAAATCAATATACAAAAAACGGGTGTGTTGGAGTGTTCTTAGTCATTTTTAAGAAACTGTGATGATTTTCTTCTTCAATTGCAATAATGAGAATATTTGTTGGGAATCCTATCTACCATCTAAACATCTGACAACTTCAATATAGAACAAGTAAAATAACATTAATACCCTCCACCTTAGGGTGAAGGAAACAATAGAACCCATTGTGACCCACAAATACCAATTTTTAGACATATTCGTGAAAAAATGTGGTAAAAACCATCAAAATACCGAATATCGGGAGGTACCGTTATATGGGGCGTGAACCTACACGAACTAGGACCCATTATGACCAACAAATACCGATTTTCAGACAAATCCGTGAAAAAATGTGGCAAAAATCATCAAAATACCGAATTTCGGGAGGTAAGGTTATATTGGGGACTATACCAAAACGTGGACCGATATATCTCATTTTCAATACTAACCATCCTAGACACAATAAAAATTGTTTTGCTAACTTTTGACGCTCTACGTCAAATAATATGGTCTGTATCGTGATTTCCTCTCCAAGGTGGAGCGTATAAAAATGTAAAATGATTTTGCTTTTTCTTTCCTCATGCGTTGGTAATTATTTTTGTTGTAACCATGTAAG